GCCTCGTTTTTGATTCCGTATCAGAAAAGAGCTTGAAAAGTACGGCTAAATAAACTACTTTCCCTCGTGTTTTCAAACGTTTTGATGACCTTTCTATGAAGTTTGAGATGCCCCCTAGTATTACCAACCCTAAATGTTTGAAGTATGGCGCGATTAGTCGTTTTAAAAATAGATTGAAAAATTAAAATCTCTCAAATTTCATATACGGACGAGTAATGTGTCAAAACATGCAATAGTAGCTTCCTCTGTTATAACACTACAAATGCATATCACAACCGGGCAGGAATTCAACCGTTCTTGTTCGCCACACGAATTTTCCAAGGCTTACTGGAGCAAATTCGGCTCGTTCATATCCAAAATGGCAGCCAACACGTGTGTAGAAAAAATGTAAACTATGTAAATTGAACGTCTGATTGTCTGTTTAATTCATTGTCAAGGTGATACAATGTTACATTCTTGTGTTTGAACTATGTCCTGAAACAGCTGAAGCAGTTTATTAATTAAATTTCGTTCAAAGGCTACATCGTGTGCGAAAACGAAAATAGGGTTCATCTCAAAGTGAACAAGAATAAATTTCAAGATTGACTTGCTTTGGTGAAGAAAACAGTGAAAGTCAATTAGAAACTTCATTTATAATCATACTTTGACTTTTATTGATAAGTTTATTACTTTGAATGACAACACAGCATGCGCATAATGACACATAAGCTACCCTGTATAAATAAGGAAAGCAAAGAAAGACAACTCTTGCATTTTACATACTGTGTCATATAGTCTTCTGTATCTCAATAGTTGCACGAGAATATTATGAAATTTCAGATAAAATTAACTAACTGGTACTTAGGTTATACTCTAAAATTATTTGATCTAGCATTCCTATATTATCTGCTTTTTATTTGCCGATGTACACTTTCTAATCATTTTCCTCGGAAAGATGGATAACTCTGTAAGAATTCTGCATTTTTTAATCATTCATAAAAAGCTCAATTTTCACCCGATTTGAGAAATGCTTGTTGATATGTAATCAGTGGGTCCTACTTTACACAATGGACATAAAAACCGACAATTTCTAGACTCCTTAAAAATTATTGTGTATTGTTAAAAAATATATACTTTAAAATTACATATTTTTAAAGAAATGCACATATTTTATTCTGTACTTTTATAGTGGAAATCATCATTGCAGATTAATACATGTTTATCAATGAAAGGGAAGTTGGACGTGAATGGTCTCTGAAAGACTGTTACTGAAAGCATGAAATGTATTAAGAAAAGACCCCTATAAAATCCGCCATTTGCAATGTACTTTCGGTTTCACATATTAACATTTGGACAAAATATACAGGGAAACAACTTTCTAGAGGCTATCGAAGTCCAACTTGCCCTTCATTGATAAACATATATTGTTTCTGTAATGGAATTCACAATGTGTATTCAAAAAAAATATATGGTTTTTTTAAAAGAATTTATCATCCTCCTATGATGTCTTAGATTTTTTCAAAAACTGTTATTAATTTAAATTCATTCCCAATAGAACAAAGTTTTTTGAAAAAATGCTTTTCAATAGGTATAATGATAAATATTGTTAAGTAATAGAACTTAAAAAATGTATATTTTCATTATTTAATCAATTATTCAATCATTGAAAAAATGTGACAAGGGCAATAACTCCTTCTAAGATATCTTCATTCAGACATTTTCTTTATTGTACTTTTAGTGTAAAAAAGTTTCCCAGATATTTACATTTCAAAATCATCTAGAAGTATAAGTAGCAAGTATTTTGGAACTATTAGTATTAGAATTATGCATTTGAACCAGTTTTTACATAATATTTACAATACAATTTTCAAAAAATTAACGATTTTTTCATGTTGACATACACTTCTGTTCTGTTTATTTATATCTCCCTTCTTAAATAATATGGCAACCTATAACTTTTTTTGTGATAATTGGTAATTTTAAACAAAATAAATGCAGTTTTTGTACTTTGAACCATTCAAATTGTTAGGGTGGAAAAACCTTAATAAATATTTTTAAAAGTATTTATTATCAAGTGATGCTTTCTATCTGTTAATCAATGATATATTAATTTTATAAACTGTAAAAGTTTTGATTTTATAAACCACATAGTTTTTGAGCTATTGTAAAAATGATTTTTTGGACATGTTGACCTTTGATGAAACCTTAAGATGCATTTAGTATGAACTTCTGCACTGAAAAACTATTTGCATATAAATTGAACAAACCCCTCTTTTTAATTTCATTGAATCAATTCACCAAATATGAAAAATATGTATTTAAAAAAGTTAAAACTATTGAATATTGTGACAAAGGAAGTTATTTTTTTTACATTGTAATATTGGAAGTACTATTCTTTCATCCAAACTCCTCCTGCACCTTTGAGAAAAAAAAAATGAATGTTGGATTTTGGCTTCTTTAGCTAAATCCTGAAATTACCTCTTTGAAACAAAATAGAAAGAAATCAAACAAGGATTTTATGATTATGTTATTTGCGTCAGACGATAAGAAGACGGTTTTAACCGATTTAATTTCATTTGATCAAAAAATGAGACTAAGTCTGTGTGAGTCCTGAAGTACATCGTATTCATTCACCATTCTTCCTGTCAGTGCCCGCATTAAAAAAAATCATGTAAAGAATTGACTTTCAAAACATGCTGCATTAAATAAAAATATGACGCCTTGGGTAAAAGAGAGAGAACTAGAAAAACACTATTTAGTGAACTGACATCAAGGGAAAAAAAGATCACAAAGACTTCAGTGTTTGTCATATATGGCGCTACTACCATTATCATAGAAGAAGTTAATCCAAGCAATATCCTTCCGCTGCTAATGGAAAGGAAAGTTTTCAGAAAGAAATTATAACGGTGTCTTAAATACTTTATTGTACAAAGCTTCTTAATTATGTCGAAGTTTGATCAACATAACTTTCTATCACGCTTTGTCACATCATTCCGCTAATGATGCATAAACTGATTAAAATTAAAGTTTGATAATTCTACATAACCATAAATCTCTCATGATATTCAACTCACACGAGTTGTTTATAACTCAGAAAAAAAGGGTTAATTTAAAAAAAAGTAATTAATTTAACTTTGCTTGATTAAAACTAAGCAATTTTACCTTATTTATTTCAGGGAGCGACAGTTGTGCAAGAAGGCTATCAAGCCGCGATACAAATGCACAACACATGGTTCCTTCAGAGAGTATTGCGACTATCTTGGACAATTAAAGAATTGGTGCCTCTTATGGAGTACACTTGCTATTCTTCCGCTCACTATAACACTAAATTTGCTCGGTGTACGTATTTGTTTCCTTAATCCATGGAATTACCGGTATTTTCAGGATATTTCTAAAAAAAGATTTTAAAAATTCAAAAACATTTCAATAGTTTTTGGAATCTCTCTATTCTCTTTATTCTGCAAAAAGTTGTCATGGTTTCTTGTCTAACTTCGAATGTGCAGTTTTATTACTATAAAGTATGTATCATTTAGTTTCATTAACGTTATATTTTACTTTGAAAAATAAGAACAGAAATATACATGTTCATTTTTTGCATTACGGGATCTGTAGCGTTATGGTAAAAAACTAATTATTTAAAACTGCAACGCTGCAGCTTGGCGATTTACTGCTTTCTGCTTTTGTTTCATGTTGACTATAGGACTTTTACCCTCATTATCAGCAGTACAAATTGCTTATAAAAATATCCTCAAGTCTATACCGTAATGTGAATGTACATTAATAAAAGCACCAATTGTGTTTTTATGAAGACTGATCCACAGGTTATATTTATGCATAAATATAAGAAGGAAAAAAATCATCATGTTTTATAACGTGGTATTATAAACGTTAATTTTATACACTACATAGGGAAAAATATGTTTGTCGAGTCAGTGGTGGTCACAGTAGATCAAAATCAAATTTTATTCAATCCTAGTAATCATTTATTCAGTACTCAAAGCAAAATTAAATGAAAAATTCGTTTTCTCTAAAAATGTTTATTTCATATTATTGGGAACGAATGTTCTCTATTAAAAAGAATGTGACATAATCTAAAACCAGCAATGGAATGATGCATATAATAAAAATTGGCTGCACGCAAAGCTTCAATTTAAAGCTTAATTTTGAGACTTACAAATCAAAATAAATGACTAATGAGCATGAACTATTGTTCTTGTATGAGGAGCGTTTAGCAGGTACCAAAGTTGTTTGGTGCATCCTCACAGAAACAATTATTACTTAAGGGTTGATGTACAAGTAGTGCTCAATTCCTTATAGTCAATGGAGCCGAGGATCTTTCATTTACCTTGATAAATATAGGAATACTATAACTGGGACTATATATGGGAATTATGATTAACCCCAAAGATCATAGTCAAAGAAGCACAATGACGAGTTGATCTTTGATAATAAGGTATCAAAGGCATCGGTCTTTTAATCAAATTTTCAATATACATGTAGCAGTAAGTTGAAGCATTTTCATTTTAAAGAGCTATTCGTAGAGTTTCAATTAATATAGCCAAATATTTTTAAATATACAAAATTTTACATGAATATACATATTTTTTTGAAGTTGAGTCTTGGATGGGTTTATTTGTTCATGGGGATTTTGATTGGATCTGCTGTCGTGCCGATAGCACTTTGCATGTGCTGGGAAAGACTAACCGGAAGTGGCATGGTTGCAGGTGCAGTTTCGGGAACATTATTGGCACTTATCACGTGGTTATCTGTTGCTGCCTCCAACAAAGGCGGTCTTAGTCCAGAAAACTTTTTTGAAAATACAGGTAATATTTGTCTTTTTTCCTTTAACAAAAGCAATAATTCACCGTAAAAACACAACATGCCTTGCAATTTAAAGCTGTTGTACAACGTCGGTGTTAAATGTAATATTTATCCAATTACAAAGAATATTACTCTGAAATACATGTAACAACATGTAGGTAAGGAAAATGCTATGCTGGCCGGGAATTTAATGGGCATTTTGTCGAGCAGCATCATTACACCTGTAGTCAGTATTCTGACATCAACGAACGGAGTACGCAACGCTGCAGAAATTTGGGAAAATACCAGAGATATCGATAATCCTCTTAATCCTTGGACGGAACGTTATGCAAAGTACGTTTAGATTGAAATAAAAATGAATTGTATTTGATCATATTTCATTAAGAACAACTTTTTTCTTAAATGCAAACACTGATTTCAGAAAATACTAGAGACGTATTTCTACCGTCAAATTTGTTACCATATATGTTCAACTTGGTAGAATGAAATCTTTACTAGGTTGAATGTATTTAATTGCCTTCATTGTCAGATATCTTATTATCTTTTTTAAGAAATTGAATTAATTTTATGGTATAAGAATAATCAATTTTACAAGTTCACCATCTCAATTCGCATTTTGTAGGGATTTGAAGTTGAGCGCAGCTCATCAGCTTGACAACAGGCCGTCCTATGAAGACGTATATACTACTCTCAGGTCCGCGCGTCTTTTAGCCAATGGGTGTTCTCCAATTCTCACAATACTGCTAATTTTTATATGGCCCAGTATAATGCTTTTAGAAGGTGTTCTTGATTTAGCAGCTTTTAGGAGATGGGTGAGTGCTTAAGTGTTAAGAATAATTTTATATGAAATCAAACAAGTTTTGAATGATTAATTGGTGTTAAACGCCGAGTCGGCAATATTTCAGCCATATTTCGGTGGAAACAAGTTTTGAAAATGAACACCTCCAAAAGTAATAGTGTAATCCATGTTCCCAAATAGCAATGCAAAAAAATAAAATGAATTTTAAGATGCTCAAGACTCTTTTGATTCGCATTTCAATTGATATCTTGTAATTTCATACTATTATGTTACTTTTATGTATAGCTTTTTAGTTGATATTTTGTAGTTCTATTTTATTTCTGTTTTAAAGTAACAAGTAAAACGTATCTAATTTATATATTTGATACCTTAGTGATATAAATTGAACAATAAAAAGTGTACCTTTTTGTTGTAAGTGATGCCCTATGAAAGATAACTCTGATTTGGAAAAAAAAGTATAAATCTTACTTGTCGACATTCTTCGATTAATTACAATGTTCTTCGTTTATTTCAGATCTATTTAGCAATGACTTGGTCTCTGTGTGCCACAATCTTTATAATTATTGCCCCTCTTGTGTACGAAGGCATTGACCTAAAAAACGCTGTGAAGCAAATGAAAAACGTTCATCCTTGCAACGTGCGCTCTTCTGGTGCAGCGAAAGAGAACTGTAACGGAGTCAACATTAAAAAGACAAACCAAGTGCATATTTCACCTGTGAAACAGAGTTTTTCAGATCCAAGACTTATTAAAGAAAGCGGTAGCAGTAATTCAATTTTAGCAACGCAAGAAATATAGAAATGTTTTCTGACTTGTAAATAAAAGACGTTCAATGAAAATAAGACTAGTGTTTATTTTCCGCATCTCTAAAGATTAGTATGATATTTTATACCATTGTATTTAAGCTGAATGAAATATTTTGCTCTTTTAAAAAAAATACTGTAAACAATAATGGGTACATGTACATGTATATGGCAATAATCAGAACCTATGCAAAATGAACAATACATGTAGCAACATAAGTATATGGGCTTGTCCGTCATACAACACTTTTGTTGTGGCTCGATATGTCACACAAGTTTTGATATTATTCTTTTAATGAATTATTATACAATTTGCAGTCTGATGTTTTCAGGTCTTCTTCACAAAAAGCGTTTAATTTGAAATCAAACAAATTAAAATTTGTTAATAAACAAAATTTAATTGAGATGTCCAGGGATTCGGGGGAATTTTTTTTCTTGTAATTGAGGCAATTTATTTAACAACTTCAACAATTAAATAGCACAACATAAAAAGCCTGTTATAACAACGCATCGCATGTCATTAATTTTTTAATTACATATCATATATAAATGTAAGCATTGATTAACAAAGCGACGTAAAACGTATTCTAAACCTCTGAACTTATTGGTTTCATATAAGGTAAGTGTTATCGTGTCGAAAAGATTATTCTTTTCGTTTTTTTTCTCTGCACATTATAAATGGTCTTGCTATATTTAAAGATTGATTGCATTAATTATATATATTTTGATTTTATGTATATTTTAAAAAATGAATGCAAATTTTGAAAATAAAAAAATCTAGGACATTTTACAATTATAAACCAACAGATTTTCAATGGAAAATAAAGAAATCATCTCGAAAAAATATAACGATAGAAATGTTTTGTTGCGATTTCTGAATTACGTATAACAGACTTTTAAGAGTACTAGCATGTAATGCGGCGAATAATTGCTAACCCTTGTCAACAAGGACATAAAATAAGGTAATATCGGGAGAGATTTTATAACTTTGACTTGATTTATTTCTTAATAAAGGAGTCGAAAATGTGTGTATCACTAGAACATTATTACATAATTATATGAAATAATAATGCGAAATGTCCTTTTCAACGTTTTTTTTTATTTACCTCCAAAACATCGAGCGAGTTTCTATTACAAAAACTTCATGAAAGTCTTGTAGAATATATTTATTGTTTTATCTCTTATAAAAAATATTGGATGCCAGCTTGGCGCAGTGGTTAGAGCGTCTGCTCTATACTCGCGAAGTCAGAAGTTTATACTTACATTGCGGGTTCGATTCCTACTGTGGGACGTGGAGACCGGTCCTTCGTTTAATGACGATGAACCGACTAAGTTGACCAAAACTCAATCCCTTCGGACGATGCCTTTGTTCGACAAAAACAAACATGCGGGCAATACATGTGCCGCTAATATTAATGTGATTTCTTGTGTGGCACAGACAAACACGGAGAACTACACAAGACATTTCACTGATCAGCCTGAGAAGAATTTGAAATTTTAAAAAGAAGCTTATACACTATAGTATATACCCACAAAAGAAATTATTATGACATCTACTTGAACTATTTACTGAAGGAAAAATCATTGAAAAAAATGTTGAGTATTGTAAACAAAATAAAGGCTGTTAAAATGTGAATTTTGTAGAATAAATTAAAAGAAAATATATTGATAAAAATACATTGTATGGAAGTTCAGGAAAGGTAAACAAAAGCTAAAAGGTATGTTAAGCAAGTGTTAACAGTTTAACATAAAGACCTTTCGGTCTACAGGGGAACAACCATGAAAAAAATTTACAGGCAAGAACATCATAAAAAAAATCACATATGTGGAATGAAAGAAAAAAAAATCTCAAAATATTTGCTTACGAAAACCGCGAAAAAAATTTACAGGCGTGTTAAAAAAACACAGAATATCATGACATACAAGCTGATTCAGTTTGATTCTTTGTTGTTTAACATCCCTCTCGAGAACTTTTCACTTTAATGGTGACGCCACCACTTGCCAGTAAAGGGCTGTAAATTTATACATATACCCGGAAATCAGAGTCATTGGACAGTGAGGGATCTTTTTCGTGCAAACACCTACTACATAAACGATACGGAACTTCGAATTATACGGTCTTCTCCGAAGGACCGGTCTCCGTGTGCCGCAGTGAATTCGAACCTACGAAGTAAGGATCAGCTCCTCACTCTGCAAATCTAGAGCAGAGCGCCACTTGAGTGTTGCTGATGTAGTTCAAGTTATCAACTAAGTTTCTTGAACATTCATCCAAGGTTTAACGGCGTGCGTGTGAGGTCGACATGTAATCTGGGGCTAACGTTGTCATCCATTTCCTTTTTGTTTCTATACATGTAGTGATTACGTTCATATAAAGTCAAACATAGTGTATAACAGTCCCTATGGAAAAATAATTGTTTAACAGGTTGGAGAGAATAAAATCGGGTATTATCCGTGAAATCGCGTATAATACCCGATATTAGGGTATCGTTGAATCCGCGAAATCGGGTATTTTGTGCAACTTTCTATAAAAACAAAAGAATAAAGCAATGGCGCATTATTCCAGTCACTGTTACTTGTACATCAGTATCTTAGGTATTTATTTTTATTAAACCTAATCTATATGGTTGTCAAATAAGTTTAAAATCACATGACAAACACTCCTGGGGGTAACAAAGAAGACACAATGACGTTATTATTTTTCAATATAATTTCTAAAATCAAATAACTACACTTCGTTTGTCTTTATTTCCCAATAAACTATTCCATATACTTAATTTTCTAATTTGTGCACTATTCACAAAATGTGAAACTTTAAAGAAACAAGCAATTTCAAAGAATTGTGGTCCCCCGCTTTCGGTGTCTTTTTGGGTGAGATGGCATTTCTTATGACATTTTGTGTCTAATATGAACTCCCTATCATAAGTCCTATCATAAGTCATCTATTTAGAAATTATCACTGAACTCCAAGGTCAAGGTCGAAGGGTCAACGTTCTTGGTATCCAATGAAAAGTTTTCTCAAAAGGATTACATATGTGAAGTATGAAAGCCCTAACCCTGACCATTCAAAAGCTATGGTCGAGGTTAAACTTTTCTCATAAGTACAAAAAATCTCCAAGGTCAAAAGGTAAAAGTTGTTGGTATCCGATAAAAGGTCTTGCGACAAAGAATACATGTGTGAAATATGAAAGTCCTAGAACCTACCATTCAAAAGTTATGGTCAAAGTAAAAGTTTGAAATTTTTGTGCAAAAATGAGTCAAACGTCAAGGTCAAAAGGTCAAATTTGGTCTTACCCAAAGAAAGGTCTTGTCACAAGGAATACACATATGAAATATGAAAATCATAGCTCCACTAAATCAAAGTTATGGGCAAGGTTAAAGTTTTTGTGACGGACGGACAGACATATGAAATTTAATGTCCCCTCGCTTTCGCGAAAGCGGAGTACAATGAAGCGACTAACGCCGTGTTATGTATTTTTGCTGAAAAATGTATGGCGTCCCTTTCACGTGAAATATAAATTATTCCTAACAGTTGGAAAGTAGAGTATAAGTGAGTCATAATTGCATATCTCTGCCATAATAGAATACCAACGTTATTTTAAAGAATAAATAAAACAAGATTAAATAAAACATGTTGAAAATAGCTAATTGAAGGTGAGTATCTTTTATAGAGATTGTTTATGTCAATTTAGCATGTAAATTTTTATTCAAAGACACCGTAAATTTTTTGGTTGCATTTTTATAGATACAAGATATATATACTATTTTACCTTTATTTTATGCAAATGTATGAACATTGAGAGCGAGAAGTCATGTGAACAGGATTTTCTTCTCTCTTTTTTTTTGTGGGGGGGGGGGGAAAAGTCAAATGTGGAGCTTATAATACATTCCCAATATAGATCGAGGTACATTCATACATTGTATTCAAATATGAATTACATAGTCAAGTTTTCACATTTCTTAGTTTTTGCGTTTTGTCCATGTTCATGAACAAACTGAAATAAATGGAGTGTTCAGTTGCGCCTTAGGCACTCTTGTCTTACTTATTGGGAATATAATTCCTCATCGGACATTAAAATTTCATAAAAATTGTAGCCACTTCCTTTCTTTATTATACTATTTGATTGACAGGGTAGATTTTACCTTCTCTTGTCTATTATATTTTTTTTATATGGCTATCTTATACCTCATTATAATATGCTATACAACGCACTATCTGAATGGTTTTAGACAACATGTCACAGTTTTCTTTTAGTTATTTTATCTGTGGTACTTATTACTCTTGGCAATAACTTTTCCCACTACTCATCTATGATGAAAAAATGTATTAAAAATAAACATGAATTTTAGTTATTTTCAATACTTGTAGTATCATATTGTGTTAGAAAATAACAGGTTGCTTTTTGTTTACCTCGATTGTTTTGGAATATACATGTAAACAATTTAAGCACGAAAATTTTGAAGATATGATAAATTCTATTCATCCAAGACAGCAATGTTGGAAATATAATTTTTATTTTATGAATAAATCTTCCCTACAATTAGAATTATATAACCGACTTTGACATTCAAAGATGTATAGCAAAAAACTTTGCATTAACATCTAATTAAATGATTGCGAACGGAGAAGTCTCTTGGACACATGCAGAACACAGTCAAAGTTGTTTTGTCAGAGGTGGTCCAAGAATTCATTAAATTGCGATCGGATAAGGAATAATTGATATTTAATGTTTTTTTAACCCTGAGAGCAGTTAAAATCGGTACAGCCTTTACCCCCACCCCCACCCCCACCCCACCCCCCATCTTTGAAGTCGCCAAGAAATATAAAATATTGATGACTTAGCGAAATTAAACGATCAACAGTTATGTTCTCTCATAAGCTGTATTCCTGAAACGATCGCTGTCTCTGATAAAATCTTGGAGACATATTCTGCAAATATGTATGAATGATAAAAAAAAAGATTTTCAAGAAAAAAGAGAGAGAGGTTTTTTAGCCGA